CGGCTTTTCATATTGTTCTTACTGATTCTTCCTAGCAAGTAATTCCTAATATTTTGCTAACGAACATTGGTCAGTATTACTGTTGTCACCTGTAATACTGAAATTATTAACATATTTTGCTCTTTTGGGTTTTCCTTCATTTAGCATCTCACTCTGTCTTCATTCTATGCGTCATAGGTTCACATTTTCCAAAACCTATTGTAAAATATCTTTCAGAGAAGACTGTGTGCCGGTAATATCTCTTCACAGTTCCATATTTGAAAAATGTCTTGATTTTGACTTCTATTGTAAGGGACCGTGCACCTTGGTGGAGAATTCCTTGCTGACACTTATGCTTTGTTATAGATTCTTAGAATGCTGATGGTACGTAACCTTAATTCCATGTTCTGGCAGGCTGAATCAGGAGGATGGTAAAGCTCAAGCCCATCCTGAGGGAAATAGTGAGATCTTCTCTGAGAAAAAAGCATTGGGGGTGTAGCTCAATGTAAAGACCCTGAGTTCAATTCCTACCATTTCAAAAATAATAATAATAGGTTCCACCACCTGCCTTGCAAGCTAAAGGTTCCGAGCTTAATCCCTGGTACCCCCCCAAAATAATAATAAAAATAATAAATAGTAATAACAATTACTGATCCTGGTGATATATTTTCTGATGTATGTTTTGTCTACATGCCATGAATCTTCAGCATTAAACTAATTATTATGTAATGAGTCCTCAGTAAGTAAGAATCAAATCCAACTAAATTTTCTTATATTTTTCGCAGTGCTATGGAACCTAGAACCTTGTATTTGCTGAGCACATGCTTTACCACTGAGCTTCATACTCATCTCCTAACATTTCTTTTCATAAAAGGTCAATCCTGTCCTTTGTTCACTTGCTTTGCATCGAGTGCTATGCACTCGACTTGACTGGGTTTATATTTGTTACCAGCTCACTGAATTACTCTGACAGCACACATTGGACAATCACTCACGCCACAGAACTTGGGCAGATGAATAGTTAGAAAGACTTCTGCTTACGGAGTTAGAGTATTCACTGGCAATAGAAACTAATGAGTACACCCCCATTTGGCTTCAGTTTACACAGTCTTACCTAGGAATGTGAATGGGTACTGTGAAGTAGTTCGGGTCTTTGCTATACAAGGTTCCTGGATGACCTCAGCATCCAGCAAATATCTGCACACATTCCTAGAATGGCTCATGTCTTCACCCTCAAGAATGCAGGACAGGGACTTTCCCTTGCCTTGCTAAGACAGAAATTTCCATATTGTGCTTTTCACATATCAGAAGTGGCTTTAGTCATTCAATGAAGCTGAGCACATGGAGAGGTGTTGGTGTGCATGCGTGAGGAATGTGGTGTGGGAGACAGAGACAGAAGGCAGTGTGCAGGCTTGGTAAAAGATGGATACACAGAAGTATCAAAAGTGGGGGTCCAAGGAAAAGCAACTCTGTTGAATAACTGAAGCTCATAGTCCTGAGCAGGAATGCAATACAGGACGCAGTTCAAGTGAGGTGAATATTGTTTGCAGAAGCAGTAAAGCATTTTGTGGTTATCCAGCCCTGGATGTTTGGTGATGGGGAATAAAAAAGTATCCAACTAGAGGTGGAGCTCTTCTGAAATGAGTAGCATCAAGCCCTTAAAAAAGCTACTGCAAAGAGTTAAAGTTAGAATAAAATCATGAAAGGATTTTCTTAGTTTATGCTTTTGAATTCTTTTCAGGTGAGCTACAATTAAGGGAGTACATGTTTAACTGTAAAATGAGTAGGATAATATGATTTTAAAAGTTGTGACCAAAATATTTTTTTTCTGAATAAATATGCATAGTTTTTTAAAAATCTCCTTTCGAAATTAAAAATAGGGAGATTTAGAACTTTCTATAAGCACATGAAGTAAGTAGTTCAAAAACAATAGAAGAAATATTGGATATTATTCTATCATTGGGAGAGTAATGTGTAAGTAAAAGTGTGGCTGTGGCGACAGCTAAAATCTTCTTTTGTCTTTTAAGATTTTGTGATAAAATCCTCATGCTTTTAAGAATCAAATCCCAGTAGATGCTGTGTTTACTGCACTTGTGCTGTGGAACAACCCCCACACAAATGACAACAAAAGTCTCAGCAAAGATGTTGATTTTTCAATTCAAAAGGCATGATGGGCTTTAATAAACAAATATTTCCAACATGTGGTCTCCATAATTAGTTTTAAAAATACAAAGAGGCCTAAGGTAGGGCAGATATTAAAGGCATTGCTATTAAGCATTTTTATTCAATACATTTTCAGTATTATCTTAATATAGGCAACAAATATGGACTTGACAAAGGTTGTAGAAATATAAGTGATGCAATGTATCTGTTCTATGGAGATATCTAAACCAAAAACTATTTTATTTATCTTATATTCTGAACTTTTAAAATAATATTTTACAAAATAAAAATGTTTATTTAAGACACAGGGGACTTCTTAATATTTCACAGCACGTGTTCTCTACTATTTTAAAGCTACAGCACCTGCACAAGCAGTTAAGATCCGGTATCACTACTGTGCTATGCCAAATGATAGAAAATGCACACACTGAACATTTTTCTTTCAAGAACTTCTACATATACCTCACAGAGGAAAGGGCCTGCCTTACGCAAAGGATGAGAACAAGACGCTTAAGGTAGCATAAACTACCCAATTTCTGATTATTAGTGAGATTTTTAATAACATTGTTTTAGTCACCGTGTCATCGCTGGGACACAAGACCAAACATGAGCAATTTAAAGGAGGACAGGATCATTGCTGGTCATGTTATTAGTCTGTAGTTGGCTGGCTTCAAGGCAGAGGCAACGTGGAAGGCCCTGGGTGGAGCACAACTGCTCGCCTCACTGCAGGCAGGAGGCAGAGAGCAAAGCAAGCTGGGAAGGGAGACAAGAACCTTCCAGGCAACACATCCACAACCACCTCTCTGTCCAGACCCCATTTCCTCCCAGCAGTCTGGCTACAGTCAGGGAACTGCTCCACCATGTGTGTAGGGTTTCCATGATCCAGTCACCTCCCCATGTTCAAATGAGGCTTTGTGGGGACATCTAAGAATAAACCTTAACACCAATAATAATAAATTTGAGTAAAGCTTAGTTACACGATCGTCTCATTCCCCAAAGTCTCATGAATCCCATGGAATAGAGAAGTCTGCTTAGCTTTCAATAAGTGGCTGCCCATAAATCACTCTCTGACACAATGATGAATGCTAAACTAACGTTTAAAAATACAGCCCAGAAAATCCAAGTGTTTACTTTAAAATTCTGTGAAGACACTGGTGCATTAATTATTTAAATGCATTTGACTCTTTGATTCCAGATTTTTCATTCTTGGAGTACTGACAGAAACATTTACACACTACAAAACTAAAGCACTGCCAGTTGTGGGTTGGTGGGCTTACAATGCAACAGTAAAATTTAACTCTCTTCATTCATTCCCAGTAGGATTATTCAGAGTTGTAATTTTCTTCAGAAATATGGACTACTCCAAGGATAATGATTTCCAAGGATACGGAGTTGGGGGTCAAAGTAGTTACAACGTTTTTTTAATTCTGTGGCACTGTGTCCACACAATGCACCTAAAATATCTCTGAGCTAGTAATAACCTTAATAGGGAGTTATCTTTGACACAAATTCAATGGAGAAATTATCTTTCAATAATAATTAATTTTTCAGATATGGTCATATTAATGTAACATTAAAATATACAAAATATACTTTAAAATAAACACTCAAATCCAATAAATACTGGTCAAAGACAGTAAATAAATGGTTTATTTAATTCTTCTTTCTTTGTTCAACTCATACTTATGAGGTCTTCTACCCAGCACAAGGTACTAGGTTAGGTGCATTAGACACAACGTTGTAACTCAAAATACTCTTCTTCTTCAAAACTATTTTCCATAAGACAATGAAGTACTGAAGTTTGCTAAAGGTTATGGTGGTTGACATATTTTTAATCAAAAACATATTTGATTTTTCTGTACAGAATAGGAAGAGTCCGTCTTGTACTCTTCTTGGTACTGATGTGAATAATACAATTTTTTCAAAGTTAATCATAGTATTGCCTTTAATCAGCAAGAAACTCTGCACAAGTTTACACAGTGCTAAATCATTTTAAAGTACAGCCGTTTCCTTAATGGGTAGCTATTTGTAAATTGTGGAAGTTACCCTAAATCCATAACTATACATACCAATGAAGTACTTCATAGACTAAAAATATCATTTTGAAATGTAATCAGTGACTCTAATCAGGTTTTGCAGGGAAAAGTTTTCAAAGACTTTGAACATCGTTGCAGTTGGAATACTGTCGTCTTTATATTCTTAGAAATATAATGCATATTTATGTCCTTTGAAAAGTAATGATTTAGAACAGCTTAGAAAATGTTGACATATATTAGCAGCCCCTTACAAAAGACTTTTTTCACTTCCAATAACTATTTTGCTTGAATAAATTCATTTGTGCATTATTTGTCTGGCTTGAAAATAACATTTGAAATTTATATTAGTGTTAGACATTGTAAGGAATTTGTTGTATTCAAGTATTATTTGCGGCAACTTTTTCCAGGACTGGGAATTGAACCACAGGCCTTTGCACTAAGCTACATCCTCGTCCCTTTTTTACTTTGTTTGACACTGGGTCTGGCTAAATCACTAAATTGCCCAGGCTGGGTTGAATTCGTAATGGACCCTCCTGCCTCGGCCTCTGGAAGCTCTCGGATGGCAGTCACGTGTCACCGCACCACACATATTAGTGTCTTTTAGTATGCTGTCAATGACCGAAAATGAAGAAATGATTAAGAACATCCCGAACGAAAAGGTCGGCAAAATACAAACTGGAGATGATAAACTCGAGAGCACTGCAGACAAGGACTCCAGGCAGCAGCGTCACACAGGGTCTCCGCGGCACTCCCCACGAGGCCCGCCAGCCCGCATGGGAAGGAAAGAAGGCAGCGGCCGGGAGGCTGAGAGCTGGTACTTACCAACCTCCACAACACCAGAGCAGTTGGGTTCCGTGAAGCCGTCCGGACACTCACAGGAAAACGACTCGTCCGTCAGCCCAGACAGACAGATGCCCCCGTTCTCGCAGGGGTTCGGGTCACACGCATCACCTGAGGAGCAAAGACAGAGCTGCTGAGTTGGTGTGTGGTTTCTGGGTTGTTGGTCTGGGGACATTTGAGGGGTTTCGTTTTTTTGTTTTATGGGTTTGGCACTGAAACCCACAACTGCAAATTCCCCAAGGACGAATCCCAGGCGCGGTCACTCCCAGCTTCGAGTCACATGGAGGATACATAAGATCCATTTGAAAACACTTTTAAGAAAAATGGAACGCACCGTGGTGAAAATGCAAATACACACTTCAAATACTGTATCTGAGAGCTACAGGTTCAGTTAGGTGTTCATTCAATACAGACAAACAAAATGCTCTTATTTGTTAAAGAAGGAAGATTAACCTAAGTATGCGTGGTAGACTGGTTTCATGTCCTATGTTAATAAATACTCTCTCTGCAGATGAGCAATTTGTTGTATAATTTTGCAGTTCCTCTCATTACAGGGATGAAATTTATGTCTAGATCCTTGGAACCCAAGTTTGTCCTTGGGGCTCACTTCGGCTAATAGGATTTTTAACAGCCCTACACAGCCAAAAGAAGTTTCAAAAAGCAACTGAAAATTCCTACTTCCTCCTCTGGGATTTCACCACTGCCAGGAAACTACTTCCAGGGCAGCCGGCTTGGAAGAAATGAGGAGAAACATGCCAGGATAAGAAAGAAACTGTTACAAAGAAAGAAGGTACGGGAAGAAAGTCCTGATATTTGTAGCTTGGCTTTGACACACGGTTGCAGATGGGCTGGAGAACAGCAGTGAAGAATGGCACTGGGAAACCAGAGAAATGGTCACCAGTGCTGTGTAGTGACAAAAACTGGTGAAGCTCTCACACGCAGCAACTTGAGAGACAGAAAATACCTGATGAACTTTCGGATGTGAGAAGTGAGGTTTCCAAGCAGATTACTAACGTGTCAGCTGGCTCTTACGCCCTGCGTGTGATTAGGAACTGTCAGAGGAGACATCTAAGCAAAGAGCTAGACTGTTTAAAGGGAAGCAGGTATCCTAGAAGGACGGAGTCTTGTGTCAGGACAGAAACCTGCTCTTCTGCTCCAGCCTCTCCAACTAATCAGTGATGAAAGCAAGAGCTCTGCCAGAAAGACAGGAGGGCAGCATAAATATTCCTTTAAGGACCCGGCTCTAAAGCTCTGTGGGAAATCACTCCAGATCCCTCACTTGGTAGACACTCTCCGCTAAGTAAGAGCACCTGGAATCTTGAGGGCAGTACCTGGGCACCCCCACCGGAGCTGGGAAAATGTCTGGTCGCACAGCTGGCCCTTGACAGAAGCTGGGCTGGGCTTGATTATAGGAAGACGACTGCAGTGGGATTCATAAAAAGCCCATTCGGTGTTTAAGAGAGTATAAGGGAAAGTGCAACCTCCTCACCGGCTAAAAGCAAAGGAGGCTTTTCAAAAACTAGAAAAGTAGGGGCCGGGGATTTAGCTCAGTGGTTCGGTGGCCTGCCTTGCAAGCGCAAGGACTGGAGTTCAATGCCCGGTACCACAAAAAAAAAAAAAAAAAAAAAAAAAAATTAGAAAAGTCTCTTGGCCCCAACGTCCTACTACTTTGTCTTTCTTAGGAACTGCATCTCCTTGTAAGAGACTTCACATGCGTTATTTCCTCTCTTCTCCAAATTAATTACATGAAAATGTTTTAAAAAATGGCAGCTAAAACTTTCATCATATTTATAAAAAGTCAGTCTCCATGCGACGACGACTGTCAAAAAGAGTACCTCAGCACTGAAGCAAATCTCAGAACAAACGGGCATAAGAAAATGTGTGCCTGAAAGGACGGATGGGCAGATATGCTTTGAGAACACGAAAGCACTGAGTGTGGCTGTGCCATGCACTATTTGGTTGAGAATGGATGAGAAAGTCCAGATATCTCTATCAAGGAAGATTAAAGAATGACAGTGTGATTCATATGATGATGAGTGAATGAAAGATTTTAACATGGAATGGTCAGCTCTTTACGTCAGGACAACCATGGCGGCATTCCATAGGATACACTTGGAATGAGGAAGTTGATGGCATGTATTTACTGAAAAAGACCTTTTGTCTCTCTATACATCTAGCTAGCTAGATATCGCGCCATCATTCTATTGGTATATCCATTTTTGCAGTTTTTATTAACACGTTTTCAGTACATAACAATTACATTCCTCACAGAGAGGTGGTGCACGTAAAGAGCATATAGTTCATTTTATGTCTCTTTTCCCTCCCCTCCCTCCATTTCTTGGATCCCTTTCCATTTGCAAAATACCTATATGCCCTGTTCGCCATTATGTATCTTTCCTTCTCTTCCTTGAGTACTTCCTGGATGGCAGGCGCTGAGGTAAATACTGACCACACCAACCTCAATAAAGACTTTAAAACTCAAAAAGTACACAGCTTAGTAGGGAAAACAAAAAATGTGAGGACAACTGCAATTATATCGCCTAGTCACAAGACTGGCAATTACTAAACATGATCAAACCTGTGAGATCAGTAGGGATTTGTGAGGGAATTCAGCACTGTTAGGTATAGGGGACCCGAGTAATATGTGCAAGATTCTAGGCAGAGCGAATAACATATTCAAAGAGAAAGGAGATCATGGTTCATTCACCTACACTACTTTATCAAATTGCTAGTGCCTGCTAGGAATGCAGAATGGTGAGTCAGAATAAGGTCGTATAAAATGAGCCCTGCATGCACTGCCAATTTTTGGCATTTGTCTTTAAGCATTTGGGACACCATAAACGGAATTTAGGCATGAGAAAGCACACGGCCACATGTGTGTTCAGTAATTACTATGGAGGTAACACTATGTTGGAGCAGGCAAAACTGAGGGCAAAATAACAAGGCTGGCCCAATGGCATATGCTTGTAATCTCAGGAGGCTGAGGCAGGAGGAAAACTTCAAGTGTGAGGCCAGCCTAGGCTACTTAGTGAGTTCAAGGCCAACCTGAACTACACAGTGAAACCCTGTCTCAAAAAGCAAAAACAAAGTATTAATCTTTTAAAATAGTTCTACCCCTCCAAAAAAAAAAATTGCTCTGAACTTTCTTGATCTTCTCTAGATCTGCCTATGGACAAGGAAAACAACCCAGTTGAGAGAACTATGCTATGAATGGAGACATGAAAGTTTCCCAAATTGTTATCCAAAAACAAATTTACTCAGAAGCAAAGGTATTACTGTTGAGATTTCGTAGGAAGAGTTGATGAGCAGTTCAAATTATTGGTCTCTCTTGGTCCGCACAAAACAGCACTCACCCTCAGGGTCAGAGAACAGCACACTCCTCCCAAATGCAGGCCGAGGAGGAGCCTGACCCACAGGCATCTGTTGCATTGCTAATCACACTTCCCTGCACTTTCAGTATTGCCAGGATCTGCTCTAAGAGCAGGGTACAGAAATAAGGCAAGCTGCAGGTGCATACAGATTTATTGGCAAGAGAAAAGCGGTATCCCTGAATGACAAGGTCTGCATAGGATTGGAGAGGCACCGTAGCACAAGGGCTTGCATTTATGCATTTAGTCGGAGTCAGGAACCTCTCAGTCTGATCAGGCTCTCCCACAGCCAAGTTCCCACAGCTGATGCTCACTGCTGTTGGAGTCTAGGCCGGACGTGCTCAGGGCTCCCGGACCTTGTTCTTATCTTGTTTCTTATCTTTTTGGTCATCCCAACATTCTGGAGACTTTGTGCTATCTTCAAAAATCTTTTCTGATACCTGTGCTGGCCTTTCTAGATGATAGTATTAAATATAGTGTGTGTATGTGGTTTTTGTGTGTGTGTGTGTGTGTGTGTGTGTGTGCACGCACGTACCCGGTGTGTAATGCTTCATTTGTCAAAAGGAGACAGAACCCTGCTCAGCTCCCATTACGTCCTAGAGTAGCCAGATGTCATTTAGCTGACCTGTTTTTCTCTCTTGTCCTTGTACTTTTTATTCTTGTTTTGCTATGTCTATGCATTTGGTCCAATGCACCATAAAATTTGTGAACATTAAATTTTTAATTGACATAAAATTTATAAGCATTTACGCTACAAAACATGATGTTGGGAAGTGTATTCAGCTCCCATTACGTCCTAGAGTAGCCAGATGTCATTTAGCTGACCTGTTTTTCTCTCTTGTCCTTGTACTTTTTATTCTTGTTTTGCTATGTCTATGCATTTGGTCCAATGCACCATAAAATTTGTGAACATTAAATTTTTAATTGACATAAAATTTATAAGCATTTACGCTACAAAACATGATGTTGGGAAGTGTATATATATATACTCATGAATATAAAACTTTGCTAAATGAATCGCCATGCTGTGGCTTTACCCTGTCATGATCATTTACAAAATGCCTTTTGGAAAAGGTGAAAAGAGGCAACAGATTTTACCTAAATATACAACGGATCAAGATGTCATTGTGACAAAAGTGATATGGGGCTTGAAGAACAGCAAAAAGTGTGGACTTACTGCTACAGCTTATACCTGCATGACTGAGAAGGAATGACATAAAGAACTGGAATGGGTTTAATTGTAAAGGAATTGTCGTGTTTTAGAAGCCTGCAGGACATCTAAAGTCAAGGTGCCTAATAAATCTGCTGAGCACACAGGCAGGTAATTGGAGAGGATTTGCTTCAATGTGAATTGTCAGGTAGGAATGTTAATACTCAACGTCAGTGAGTCTTTAGAGGAAAGGAAGTGATGACAGCAAGAGGAAATATCTCTAGAACTGAGTGACCAGGCACACTTAAGAAATATGAGCGGAAAACCAGAAGATGATTCTGACCATCTCTTCTTCAGCAGATGCGTTCAGCAGATGCAAATGGGGTCCAGTCTGTCCAGGTCCGCCTGAGATTAATGAAGCTTCAACACCAAAGGGTGCTAAGTGGATAATGCCAGCAAAAAGCCCATGTGTGGCTCTGGACAAAGTAGAGGACAGAGGACAGGAACTCAACCACTATTTCTCGGTTGCTATTTGTCTTCCTTTGAATCTGGCTTCCCATACACAGTTATCAGCAATATCCTTTGTCACTTGG